GTCCGGCAGCCCAGCCAGCTCCACAGATGCACATCTCTCTATCGACTCCTCTGTCTACCGAGCTATCCATCCAGCCATCCCCAGCCGTACCCCACTGCTGCCCGATCCTTCGGCCCCCCCAAGCCCCAGACACAGCCCTCGGGCAGCCCAGCCAGTCCCACAGATACACATCTCTCTATCGACTCCTCTGTCTACCGAGCTATCCATCCAGGCACCCCGAGCTGTACCCTTCCGCCCCCAGGCCCCAGACACAGCCCTCCGGCAGCCCAACCAGCCCCACAGATACACATCTCTCTATCGACTCCTCTGTCTACCGAGCTATCCATCCAGGCACCCCGAGCTGTACCCTTCCGCCCCCAGGCCCCAGACACAGCCCTCCGGCAGCCCAACCAGCCCCACAGATACACATCTCTCTATCGACTCCTCTGTCTACCGAGCTATCCATCCAGCCACCCCCAGTCGTACCCCACTGCTGCCCGATCCTTCGGCCCCCCCAAGCCCCAGACACAGCCCTCCGGCAGCCCAACCAGCCCCACAGATACACATCTCTCTATCGACTCCTCTGTCTACCGAGCTATCCATCCAGCCACCCACATACAATAACCTTCTTTCTACCTACCTGTTCATCCACCCCCATATGTACCTCTCTGTCCACCTGCATATCTAGCCATCCACACATCCCCCGACAGATCGATCATCTGTCATCTATCCATCCATCCCCATACACCTCACCTAATCTGTCTATCCCCAGCCACCCCCTCTATCTATTTATCCTCATCTACCCCCTCTATCTAATCTATCTCCAGACCCCCCCATCTATCTATCTATCCATCCCCATATATCCCATCTATCATCTATCTATCCCCATCCACCCCCTCTATCTATCTGTTATCTATGTATGTATGTATGTTTCTATCTATATTTATGTATCTATCCTCATCCACTCCCTCTATCTAATCTATCTATCCCCAGACACCCCGTCTACCTGTTATCTATGTATGTATGTATGTTTCTATCTATCTATATTTATGTATCTATCCTCACGCACCCCATCTATCTATCTATTCCCATACACCCCCTCTATCGATCTATCTACCCCCATGCACACCCCCAATCTCTATCTCCCTAACACAATGCATTAGACCATGTAACATAATGGGGCCGGCCCAGCTCCCTCACTGCACAGAACATAACGAGGAACATTTTCAAAAGTGCCCCAGGGTCAGAGGAAGCTGAATGACCGCGGGGTGCTCAGTGACTTGGGTGGTTACAGCCTCTGACTGATTCGGGCAGCACACGGCCCATTTTGAACCGGGAGTGTGGGGCTTGTGACGAGCCTGGAGTATTAACCTGGGAATGCTGCATGGGAGTTTTACTAGTTTACTGTCTTCTGCTAACACGGGGCGTGCCTCAGTTTCCCTGGGGGTGCTGCACCAATCCTAGCTGGGGATGGGAAATAAGGGGGTGACTAAAGGAGGGCGGCTGCTCTTTGGAACCGGAGCCCAGGAGGGGGTTGGGACCAGGTGACACCTTCTGCCTGGGAAACTGGACAAAGGCTGGAGGAGGAGCTGGGGTGTGTGGCTGGATGTGGCTGGACTGGGGGTGTGGGGCTGGACTGGGCTGGGGGGCTGGGACTGGACAGGGGGTGGGGGGCTAGGTGGGTACATGGGGCTGGGCTGCTGGTGCCGAGGCAACTGCAGGTGCCGCGTGGCCGTGTCCTGCCCCCAGCGCTGGGGGCAGCTGCTTTGCTGGGTCAATGGGATTGGGGGGGGAGGGGCTCCTCAATGTCTTGGTACCTGCGACCCCCCCCGGGTCCCACTCGCTTGTTTGGCTCCTGGCTGCGTGTAACGAAAGTGCCCCCGACGCCCGCCCCATTCCGGCCGCTTTTGTGTCTCCCCCCAGGGTCACTTTCTCCAGCCCCCTCCCGCGTTCCCCCTTCCTGCCCCGGGGAGCCTCCTGCTCTGCAGACCCCGGCCCGGCTGGGGCTGCGACACCGATTCCCGTCAGTGGGGGATCTGGCCCCTCTGACTCCAATGGAACGTGGGGACCCCGGACTCCTGGGTTGGGCGCTCAGTACGGCCACTGCCTGGCTGTCTGACCGTGGCAAGTCACTGACCCCCTCACACCTCAGTTTCCCCATCAGTAAAATAATTCTGACCCATCTCCCCGGGCTCATTTGGGGAGCCAGACACGAAGGCTGCTCTGAAAGTGCCAAGTGGCCTTCTCTTGAGACATTACCCAGTATTTATTACACCCCGGGGACTCCCGTTGTGCCAGGTGCCGGGCCCACAGTCAGAGTCAATCCTTGTCCCAAAAAGCTGACAATCTAAACAGACGAGGGATGGGTGAGAAAAGAGGTGAAACGACAGAGCCAGGAATAGAACCCAGGCGTCCTGAGGAGCAGCCCAATGCCCCTGAGCCCTGCTGTGCGGATCCAAACACCATTGCTCACTGCCAGCATGTCGGCCTCAGGGCCGCCGTGCGTCCATCATCTTCTCTCACCTTTCCCCCACCGTGACAGCTGAATTTCAACGCCCTGCACCACCTCGCCCCGTGCCGGCTGGCAGATCAGACCTCCAGCAGATGCGGCTTATGATCCTGGAGGTCAGAGACGTCGGCCGCTAATGATCTTTTGCGCCGCGTGCCAGTCAGAGCTGGCAGCCGGGTGATGACGCCGGACTCTGGGAACTGAGACTCGGGGACAGGCCTTCGTCGTGCCATCTGCTGCTGACACTTCTGGGTTCTCAAAGCCGGGGAATGAACTGAGCGGCTGGCAGAGGCGTGGGGGGAGCTGGAGCGAGGGTCAGTGGGAGCGAGGGGATGAATGGCAGTGTGGCCGGCCGCAACAGTTCCAAAAACACTGTCCCCCCCCCAGCTCCAAAAATCGTGAGATTGGCTTGAAAAGCAGGAGATTTAACATAATAAATGGGGAGGTTCGGTTGCTTTCTGGGTTCTTGTTGGGGTTTTTTTTTTGAGCCTTCACAGGCCACGGGTTTAAACGCCTCTGCCCTGCGCTGGGAGCTAGAAATGTTTGTGTTATCAAACAAGAGACGCGAGCCAAGGTCTGGCTGCCATCCCATGAATCTGGGTGCTGGGGCTTTAAGGAAAAGAGCGGTTCGTGTGAGCGCTGCTGGAATCCTGCTCAGCTTTTATAGGCAGATGCAAAGCAGGATTCGGGGGCCTGACCTCGCAGCCAGTGGTCGGAGCCCACCTTCCCACCAGCCCCTTGGATCTAGAGCTGCATCCTTTGGGCCTCCCAAGCAATGCAGGCCACGGCCGGTGTTAAAGGAGGCGGTGGGGAGGGGGGGACACAGGCGGCCACCAGGAGAGGTGTTCGCTGGGCTGGGTGTCATGTGGGTGCCAGATGCAAAGCTATTTAGGCTCCTAACCCCCCTGGGATCTATGTGGCAGGTGGGCAGAATACTGAATACTAAGGGGCCTGTGATCCCCGGGCAGAGGCTTGGGGGGCGCTTGTCCAGCTGCTTTTAGGGGCCGTGCGGCAGGCAGCAAAGCAGGCTCCTGTTCCACTGCATTTCTATCCCCCCAGCAGCGCCCCGAGTTTGCTCCGTTTGCATTTGCTGTCGAGTCGGCATTAATCACCGCCCAGTGGCTAGGCCTGGCAGTTGGGCACCGTGGGAAGCCAGCTGGGCAGCAGCAGGAGAAGCCGGGGCAAGGTTGCAGCACTGATGTGCCCGCCCGGCAAGGAGCGCTCGGCCCAGATAACGGATGGTGTGTCGGGAAGCACCTCTGCTTTTAACGGGGCCAAGGCAGGTTACCCGCTCCGATCCCCGGCTGCCCACGAGCCCCCAGTGCAGGTTCCCCCTGCTCTTTACAGGAGCTAATTAAGCAGGAGGAAGATTTTCAGCCCGGTTTTATGGATGGGGAAACCAATTGGCTCATCCTCACATGGCCAACACAGCCCAGAGCTGGTCACAGGGCCTAGTGGTTCTCACTCTAACCCCTAGACCACACTCCCACCCGAAGGAAGGGAACAGAACCCAGGCGTCCTGGCTTCCAGCTCCTTTCTGCTCCAAAAAGGAAACCCCCCTCCCTCTGCTGGGAATAGAACCCAGGAGTCCTGACGCTGGCTGCTGCTGTAATCACTAGACCCCACTCCTGTCCTAGAGTGAGGCATAGAACCCAGGAGTCCTGACTCCCAGCCTCTCCTGCTCTAACCGCTGGATCCCACTCCCCTCCCAGAGCCAAGGATAGAACCCAGGAATCCTGGCATCCAGCCCCTCTCTGCTTGAACCACTAATCCCCACCCCCTTCAGCTGGGACTAAAAGCCGGTAGTCTTGTGGCTAGCTCCTGCTCTAACTCCTAGACCCCAATGCCTCACTATTTCCAGCCTCCCCAGCATCACATCTTTGCCCAGGACCTGCCTCTCCTCCGCTGGCCCAGAGCCCAGCCAACACCGGCCAGCGCGGAGCGTGGACGTGACTGTTTGAATGTGTAGCCCAGTCTTCCCGAAAACCAAACCTCTGGGCTTAACCCTTCCCACACCAGCTCTGTCCTCACAGGGCCGGCTGCTCGCCTGGAATCACCCAGGCAAAGGGCCAGACCCACAAAGGCAAGCCAGCTCCCTGGCAGCTTGGCATCTGTGTGGAAAGAGACGGATTCTTAGCTTACACCATGGAAACTCGCCGTATGGAAAAACACCGGGCCAACCCCTGCCCCCCACTTTCCTTTGTGGCAGGGCGTGGGAACAATGTGCACAGTGGGGAGGGGGCTGAGAGCCATTGACCCAATCTGTAAACCCTGTGTATGATAGAAAGCACAACAAGCCGGGGGGTGCAGCCACACCCCAGGCCCCCTAGTTCCAGCCCCCTTCCTTGGCCTGTTGTTGGGGCGGGGGGGGGGGGGGGGGTTGAGGCAGGTTCCCAGCATCTTGCATTCATCAGGGTTTATTCCTATTTGTAAACAAAATCCTCGTCATGAATTTTTTATGGCCGGGGAGCTGATGGATTTGACATGAAAGGACGGGAGGTGGATTCCACCCCCCCCCCGGCCAGGCTGATGAAAGGTTCCGGATTTGAGGGCTTGGAGGGGGGGGGGTGTGGCAGAGGATCAAACGAGGGGGAAGGGGTCGGGGGGAGCTGGGACCCTGGTGTGTCTTGGTGCCGCACACGCCCTAGAGAGAAGGAGCCACGGCAGGGAGGGAGATGCCAGACAGCCCCCCCATTTCCCGTGTGTGGGGGTGAAGCGCAAAGACCCCCAGGGTTAGGGGCCGAAACGCAGAGTGGGAACCAGACAGCGGGGGGGGGGGGGGGGAGCGCTGCTCCGGCTGGGGTGGAATCTGCGAAGTTCGGGGCCTTGATTTCTGTTACAGAGCAGCCCCCCCCCCCCCATTGCATATAGTGAGGTAGGGAGGTGACAGCAGACATGCCCTGGGGGAAGGCAGACGGCAAACCAGGGGCCCCCAGCCACGAGGGAGCCCCTCGCTCTTGGGGGGAGGCGGGGGAAGCGGGGGTGGGAGGGGGAGTTTAATGAAAGTAAGAGGGAGGCAGGAAACTGGGGGCAGATCATGGGGGGGGCTGATGATGGGGGGGTGGCTGGGAGGGGGTTGGGAGGGGAGGGAGAGGGGGCAGGGGGGATAGGAGGGAGGGAAGGGGGATGGGGCAGGGGGGATTAGAAGGAGCACTGAGGGGGGACAGAGGAGAATGGGAACGGAGGGTGGAAGGGGGATAGAAACAAACTGGGGTGGTGGGATAAAGGGGGGCAGGGGGAGGAGGGGGACAGAGGAGGGGACGGGGGGCTGGGGAAAGAGGGGGGCAGAGGGGGGCGGGGGAAGATGGGGGCAGGAGGGGGCAGATGGGGGCCGGGGAAGGCGGGGGGCAGATGGGGGGCCAGGCCAGGGGCCGGGGCAGGGCAGCGGGGGCCGGTCACTCACTCCGGGATGCCTCCTGATCTGGCGGGCGAAGGCGAACCCGGGCCGGGTCCCTCCCATGCTGCTGCCGGGGCGGACTCGCTCCGCCGGCGGCAGCGGCAGGTTCCCCAGTCCCGCTGCCTCCGCCCCCCGCCCGGGGAAGGGCGGCCCGGGCCGGGGGTCACTGGGGGCGGCGGCTCCATCCCTCCCCGGGCGCAGCTGGCCAGGGCGGGGATCGGGCTCCCGGGGACTCGGGAGTCAGGGGCGGTGGGAGCAGGAGGGGAAGCGGCGGGGGGGGGGGGCTGGGGAGTGGCGGAGCAGGGGCAGGGGGAGGGGAAGCGCGGGGGGCTGGGGAGTGGGGGAGCAGGGACAGGGGAGGGGAAGCAGAGGGGGGGCTGGGGAGTGGGGGAGCAGGGACAGGGGAGGGGAAGCAGAGGGGGGGGCTGGGGAGTGGCAGGGCAGGGGGAGGGGAAGCGGGGGGCTGGGGAATGGGGAGAAGGGGGAAGCAGAGGGGGGGCTGGGGAGTGGGGGAGCAAAGACAGGGGAGGGGAAGCAGAGGGGGGCTGGGGAGTGAGGGAGGGAAGCAGGGGGGCTGGGGAATGGGGGAGCAGGGGGAGGGGAAGTAGGGGGGCTGGGGGAATGGGGGGAAGGGGAAGCAGAGGGGGGTCTGGGGATTGGGGGAGCAGGGGGAGGGGAAGCAGAGGGGGATCTGGGGAATGGGGGGAGGGGAAGCAGAGGGGGGGCAGGGGAGTGGCAGGGCAGGGGGAGGGGAAGCAGAGGAGGGGCTGGGGAGTGGGGGAGCAGGGGGGGAGCAGGGGGGGCTGGGGGGAGGGGAAGGTGGGGGCAGGGAGGGAAGCAGAGGAGGGGTGGGGAGGGGGGAGAACAGAGGGGGGCTGGAGAGTGGGAGGGAGCAGGGGCGGGGCTGGGAGTGGGAGGAGACAGGGCAAGCAGAGACCCAAGGGGAGCAGGTGGGGGGAGAGGAAGCAGAGAGTGGGGCAGGGGGAGAGTTTGAGGGGGTAGCTGGGGAAGGGAAGGTGGCCTGGGAACTGTAGCCGGAATGGGAGGGGATCAGAGGGAATCCCCCACCCCCTTCACAGCCTCCCCCGATCCCCCCCTGGGGGGGCAGCTGTTCCCTCTCCCCTCCCAAGGCCCCATCAGCAGTTCAGGGGAAGGCGCATAAATCCCCTCCCCCGTTGGCACTGCACCAGCTGGGCCCCAATCCCAGGCAGGAGCTGAGGGGGCTGCCCCACCCGGGCAGATGAGACCCCCACCCCCTGTTCCCCAGGGCTTTGCCCAGCCCAGGTTGGCTGGTGCCAAGGGAGAGCAGCTCAAACCCCCGCTATCCTGGGACACGTCTCCCACAGCCCCCTGGCTCCCCATGTGTGGGGAAGGCCGGCCTTGGGGGGCCCAGTTCTGAGGGACTCAACTGGGGTCTCCGCTCGGTCGGTTTGCTCTCGGCCTGGGTGGAGCAGGCAGGCGTCCGGGGGTGACCTGGGCCATACGGAGGGTCACATACGGGATCTGACCTTTGCCTCCAGGGCTCTGGGGTGACAGGCCCTTTCTTTCCACAGGGAAACTCGCCCCAGTGCCCACGTCTCCAGCTGGGCGCTAAACCCCCCTCTCTTCCCCCATCCCCTGCCACAGAGCCTCCAGAGGGACCGGTCCGTACAGCCACCCCCGGGGCTGGGCACACCCCCCTGCCAGGGCTCCGGCAGGCAGGATTCGACAAGGCCGATAAAATGCCCCTCTCCACCACGTGCCAGCCTGCGAGCCAGGGCCTTTTTCATCCAAGCGAATCACAGGTACATTTGTTGCTGGGCTTCCACATGGCGCCGGAACGGGTTATAATTGATGGGGGGACGGGGGGGGGGCGGGATTCTGCCTTGTGCGGGTATGAGGGGCCCTTTCCTTCGGAGCTTACCTAGCTGTCCTGCCTGCTGGCAACCATGGTTAGAGACCGGTGGTTAGAGCAGGGGGGCTGACAGGTAGGACTCCTGGCTTCCACCCCCAGCTCTGGGAGGGGAGTGCGGTCCTCTAATTAGAGCAGGGAGGGCTAGGGTGTGCCTGCAGCTCTGAGGTGAGGTCCAGTGGTGAAAGCTGGTGGGGGCAGGAGCCAGGATTCCTGGGTTCCATTCCCAGTTCTGGGTAAGGGAGTGCGGACAACTGGTTAGAGCAGGACTCCTGAATTCTCTTCCCAGCTCCGGCTGTGTCCATTTGACATCATCCTCCCTGCCCTCTGTGCCTCAGTTTCCCCGTCTGTAAAATGGGGCCAAGACCACCCGCTGTCCTTTGCCAAGCGCTTTGCGGCCTGACACTGATAAGTGCAAATGGTTTGCGTTATGATTTGTTGTGACACCTTCCCCCTCTGTTTGCCTGGGTCCCCCCCTGCAATCCCTCGCCCCCTTTTTGATAAATGACATAATGCATAATTTACATTTAGCCATGCAGATTTCCCTGGCAGTAACAGATGCTGCCGTGCATATGGAAAACAGCTATTTGTATCCATTTACTCTTAACAAAAGATTTGTAGATTGACAGAACGTCTGCCTGAAAGAAAGAGCCGGGCACCTATTATATGGCTCGGCAAATGAGCAAGGAACAGACCCCAGTTTGCTTTAAAGTTGGCTCTAATTAGTTTTTTAATATTCCACGTAGCGGGCGGATAATATCTCCTAACGGTTATTTACAATGGGGCGAGATAGAGGCAGGCGGCTGGAAAAGCAGCGTGTTTGCCCCATCTCTTCCCGCGGCTGGGCCGTGTGAAGAGCATGGGTGGGCCAGGAGAACTTCCCCGCCCCGGTACGGCTCAGCGAGCCCACTGGGTACAGCCTGGCACAATGCAGGCAGGGGCCACGCAGGGCTGACCTATTCTGTAGGTGCCCCTCCATCCTTACCCACAACCCCTCAGCTAATTCAGCCTTGGCTCCCTGCTACCAGCTCGCAACCCCCTGTTATCCCTACGCAGGGCTCCCCACCCCCGGCCATCACCCATCAATCCCGACCCAGAACCCCGTTATCCCAGCCCTGAGCTCCCCGCCCCCCCCAAGCTCTGCCAAGGCCCCTGTGACGAAGTGGAGGGTTTTCTTGGTTCTTTTTGGGTTTTTTTAATGGTTTGCATGCAGGGGGGTGGGAGTCAGTTTCCCTGGGCATTACTGGTTTAACGAGACGATGGGAGAGGGAGTTTGTTGGTACAGAGGGCCGGCAACGGAACATGGGGCCCCAGCCAATGGCCTGGAGAATGGAGACCCCAGCGACTGGTGACTGGGAGGCCCAGCTCGGGAGTCACAACCAACCCCAGGGACCGTACGGGGCCAAGAGTGGGCACAAGCTGTGAGTCCGTGACAGCCCCTCAATCCTGATCCATGGTGCACACACATGCAGCACCCCCCGCTTGGTTCTTCCAGCCCCCCCAGCCCCTCCCTGCCGGATCTGCCGCTGCCCCTCCGCCGTAACCTCATTTCTTCCAGCAAAGTCTGAAAGGACAGAGGGGAGAACTTCGCAGGCGTGCACGGAAATAAATAAACAGAACTTGAATCCCAGCCAGCGGCGCCATGCGGAGCCCTTTGTCGGGATAATTAGAGTTTTGAAATCAAATTGATCAAGTGCCACTCCCCAAGACAAATTACATCCTCCACTCCCTCGGCGCTTCTCCTGCGTGCCCCGCCAGCCCAGGAGAGCGGAGCCAGCTTGCCTCTCCCTGGGGAAAACACGCCGGGCAAGAGCCAGCCGATACCTCTCAGCCCCGGCAGGGGCACACAGCGAGCAGAGGGACGCTGCTCGCTTTCCAGCTGCTGAAAAGCACCTCTCAATTGACTGGGGGAAATAGAGGGGTCTTCTTGGAGGGGGGGGCACATAGATATTGCTCTGTTTAAAGCACTGAAAATTGAACGGCATGGGGCCGGCGGGCTCAGGGGGGCGGGGAATGGGGCACGGGGCCTTTTCCCCTCTAGGGGGCGCTGGTGGGGATGTTTGGCTCTGAGCGGTGAGGAAGGGACACGGGGCCTTTTCTGTTGGGGGTAGGATGGTCCCGTGTCCCTCTAGGATGGTCCTGGAGTCTCCAGGAATTAAAGATTAATCTTGAATGAAAGATGATGTCGTGATGAAACCTCCAGGAATATGTCCAACCAAAACTGGCAATCCTAGCTGGGGGGAGCCTTTGCCTCCGCGGGGTGGAGAAGGGGGTCTGTGGCTCTGTATTTCTAGGGCACTCCATACAGTCTGGCCCCAGGTTTGGTGGCCATTGCTGTAACCGACTGGAGAAACCTCCCCTCGCAAAGCTGGGAAGAGAACTCAGGAGTCCTGGGGAGCAGAAACTGGCAAGGGTGGGGGGCTTTACCTCTGCACCACTGGGGCCAATTAATTAACCTGGTCCCACCAGAGTGAACCGGAGGCTTTTGCTACACAGCTCCAGCCCCAGCTCCTTTGGGGCGCCCAAGGCCCCTGCGCAGAGCTACTGGATAATGGGGGTGGGCGGGCAAAAAACCCAACCGATGCCAGTTTGGAAATCCTCCCTGGGAGTTGGAGTTCAGGTCGTCATGTGCCCATTTTGCTCTGTGGGCTGGTCCCCCTGGTCAGACTACATCTCCCATGATGCACGATGGTCTCCCCTCCTTTTTAAACGGAGGTGGGGCTCATGGGAGTCCCTGGTTTGGTGCATTGTGGGAGACGTAGTCCACTTGAGGAGCCCAGCCCATAGAGCAGGGATGGGCAAACTACAGCCCCGTGGGCCACATCCGGCCCACCAGCTGATTTATTCCGGCCCTTGAGCTCCTGTTGGGGAGTGGGGTCTGGGGCTGGCCCCACTCCTGTGCTCCAGCCAGGAAGCGGGGTCGGGGGCAGCTCTGTGCAGCTCCCGGAAGCAGCGGCATGTCTCCTCTCCTGCTCCTATGTTTAGGGGCAGCCAGGAGGCTCCGCGCGCTGCCCTCACCCCAAGCATGACCCCCACAGCTCCCATTGGCTGGGAACTGTGGCCAATGGGAGCTGGAGGGTGGTGCCTGAGGATGGGGCAGCTCGTAGAGCCGCCTGGCCGCGCCTCCGCGTAGGAGCCGGAGAGAGGACATGCCGCTGCTTCCGGGAGCTGCTTGAGGTAAGCGCCACCCGGAGCCTGCACTCCTGAGCCCCTCCTGTGCCCCAACCCCCTGCCCCAGCCCCAGCCCTGATCCCCCTCCCGCCCTCCGAACCCCTTGATCCAAGCCCGGAGCACCCTCCTGCACCCCAAACCCCTCATCCCCAGCCCCACCCCAGAGCCTGCACCCCCAGGCAGAGCCTTCACCTCCTCCCGCCAATCCCAATTTCAGGAGCATCCATGGCCCGCCGTACAACTTCCATACCGAGATGTGGCCCTCGGGCCAAAAAGTTTGCCCACCGCTGACACAGAGGAAATCTGGGCTATGAGGCAACAGAAATACCCCAACTCCCAGGGGGCACCAGGGCGGCATTTCCAAACTCAATTATTCTGGGCTCCAGGCATTGGGTTTGGTTTGTTTTTTTCCCCCTGAAAAATCTAATTTTTCCGCAGGAGGCAGATGCTGGCTCATGAAAAATCTCCTGGAGTCAGAAACCCCGTTTCCCAGCCAGCCAGCCCTGCCTAAGGATGGAATGCCTCGCCCGTTCCAGAGGGCAGGCTGGGGGAGGTCCGGACGCCTGGGTTCTCTTGGCTCGGCCACTGATCCGTTGGGTGGCCAAGTCTCCGCCCTGCTCCGTACCTCAGTTTCCCCTCCCACTCGTCGTCCATGTGGCAGCTCATGGGGCCTGCTTCTCTATTGCCCTGGCATTTCACACCCGCCTTTCCCCCTGTGTGTGCCAACGACAGAGCGTGGTGTCGGGATCAGGCTGGCCCCGTCCCAGCAGCGAACGGTAACAGCTCTTGCCTTCCCTCCCAGCCAGACCCGCGGCTGGATTTTCTGCACACCAGCCAGCCTCCTCCTCGGTTGTTCATTAGTGTAATTAAGATATGTTTTAATTGAGCTTGGCGATTGCCTCCGCTTTGTTAATTACAGGTGACGATTCGCGCGCCTCGGGCGCCCGTCCGCTGGCCCAGCGCTGCGAGCCCGGCTGGGAAGGGCCCTCGCCCCGGCCCCGGCCCTGGGAACGGCGAAAAGGAGCTGCCGGCCGGAGGCGGTGTCTGAATCGCCCTCCATTTATGGATTCCCTTCCCAGCGCCGGCAGATTTGACAGCTCAGCGGTTTCGGGGAAGAACAAGGCAACTTGAGACTGTTTCTCCCTCGAGATGAAAAGAATTACAGCACCTGACCTCACCAACACACACACGGCAGCCACACAAACACACACACACACATGCCAGACACACACCTAGACACACGCACAGAGACACACAGATACGTCAACCACACAGTCACACACACCAGCCACACACACACACACAGACACACACACCAGCCACACACACACACAGACACACACATGCCAGACACACACCTAGACACACACACAGAGACACACAGAGACACACAGATACGTCAACCACACAGTCACACACACCAGCCACACACACACACAGACACACACATGCCAGCCACACACACACACAGAAACACACAGACACACACACATGCCAGCCACACACACACACACAGTCACACACACCAGCCACAGACACACACAGACACACACACATGCCAGCCACACACACACACACAGTCACACACACCAGCCACAGACACACACACACACACACACACACACACAGACACACACACCAGCCACACAGACACACTCCAGCTACACAGAGACACACACACCAGACACACACACACATCAGCCACACACAGACGTCAGCTACATGGAGACACACACACACACAGAGCAGCCACACAGACACACACACCCCCAGCTACACAGAGAAACACACACACACCAGCCACACACACACCAGCCACACACATACACACGTCAGCCACACAAAGACACAGAGACACACACACACACGCCAGCCACACACACACAGAAACACACACACACACATAGACACCCCCCCAGCTAAACAGACAGACACACACACGTCAGCTACACAGAGACACACGCCAACCACACACACAGAGACACACACACTACCCCCCCCCACAGCCACACGTCAGCCACACAGAGACACACACACACAGAGACACACACACGTCAGCTACACAGAGACACACACCAACCACACACACACACACCCCAGCCCCTCCGACACACGCCAGCCACACAGAGACACACACACACACCCCAGCCAGAGCAGCCAGAGGGGAAAATAAATATTCCCGGGGGTGTCGTTTTCACAGCAACCCAGCGACCCAAGGGGGCGAACGCCTCCCCAGTAACTGCTCCCGCCCCCAGCGATTCGATGCCCCCGAGCCCGGCTCCGCCAGCAGCGATTGGGGAACCCGGACGAGCCCCCGGGGTCGCTTTGCCGCGCCTGTTTGTGACGTGCGGGCACCCGTGTTGTCAGCCCCTGTGCTGTGATGTCACTGTTGCTCAGACAGCCTCTGCCCTACACGGCTTGGGTCCCAGGAGAGTTGGGCGCCTACAGGCCTTTGAGTGCCTGGGCCTTACTGTCTAAACAGACAAGCCAGAGGAAGGGTGGGAGGGGAAACTGAGGCAGGGAGCGGGGCAGCGACTTGCCCATGGTCACACAGGAGGTCTTTGGGAGAGCCAGGAATAGAACCCAGGAGTCCTGGCGGCCTGCTCAGGGCCCTACCCACTAGGCTGTAAGAGCTGGGATTCCATCCGCCATGAGTAGAGGGCAGCCCATGGGGGATGGATCATTAAACACAAGGGGGAAACATACGGGAAGCAGGAGAAGGCGGGGGTCTGCGTGCCTCTGTTTCCCTACATGGGGCCTCTCCCTGCCCCCCCACTCCAGGTTCGCACGGGGATCCACCCCACATGGGCTGAACCCAACCCCGATTTAAATGAGGCCCGCGAGGACGGATCCGCTAGCCCACTGTGTGCATGCGGAGGGGTAAACGGGACTGCATTGCTCCCCCCGCAACCCCGATCCAGACGCGGCCCCGCAATGCCACCACCCAGAGCCAGCCGCTGGCTCATACATAAAGAAGAGGTGTCGGGGGGAAAATGAACCCGTCCCAGGGTGACGGGCCAGGGCACGCGGCGGGACAGGAGCCACCAGAGAAAAGGATGACAGGAAACGGGCGCTGTGAATCCCGGCCCCTGCCCCAACCCAGCTCCCTGCTGATTACTGTGACGTGCGGCGATGCCCCGAACAAGCACCTGGCTGCACCCTGGCCCAGGGGAGTTCGCCCCGTTCCCAGCTCAGCCAGGGTTTCACGGCACCGGCAGGGTGGGAGGAGCGCCCCGTTCCCTGCATTCCCAAGCCTCTTGCCCCGGCCCCTCGGGGGTTTCCGGGTGCGGTTCTGCTGTGATGGGAAATGGGGGGGCCGGCGCTGTGACAAAGTGGGACTGTTCTTAATGTTTTCTCTGAATAGTGTGGGGGTGCCTCAGTTTCCCCTAGGCAGTTCTTAAGTCTCTAGGTGGTGGGATAAGAGTGTATGATCATTGCAGAGCCCTAGAGGGCAGGTGTGTGCAGGGATCTGGACACAGAGAATGGCCGACACCCTGTTTCCTGGCACCTGGTGACCTGGGCCCTTCCCCCCTGCAAGGTGAGAGCTGAAGGGTTGGAGAACAAAGGAATCCGGTGACCTCCTGGCCCGGGAAAGGGACAAAGCCCAGAGGAGGGGGGGCTGGAGGGAGTTTCAGTTTGGGGCTGGCTGGGACATGGAGTTAAGGGCAGACGGGGTTGTCTGGCTCACTGCCCCCCAAAATGGACCCAGCTGAGGGGTCCCGTTCTCTGCGCCTACAAGCTCTGTTTTAGACCATGTTCCTGTCGTCTAATAAACCTTCTGTTTTCCTGGCTGGCTGAGAGTCCCGTCTGACTGTGGAGTTGGGGGGCAGGACCCTCTGGCTGCCCCAGGACCCCGCCTGGGCGGACTGGCTGTGGGAAGCGCACGGAGGGGCAGAGGATGCTGAAGGCTCCGGGGTCAGACCCAGGAAGGTGGAAGCCGGGTGAGCTTCTCGCCCTGGGGACGGGCTGCTCAGACAGGAGGGTCCCCCAGAGTCCTGCCTGGCTTCGTAGGGAGCCGTCCTGGAGCATTGCCTGGGGACCCCGTGACAGGCACATGAATAAAACAGGCGCATAGATTTGCGGGACCCAGAAAACCAGTGGCAAAGGACTCCTGGGTTCTTTCCCTGCTCCTGGGGATACGCGTGCGGCCTGGTGCATAGAGCGGGTGTGCTGGGAGCCAGGACTCCTGGGTTCTGTTCACAGCCAACTCACTGCGGGACCCCAGGTGGGTCCCATCCTCCCCCCCACCACAGCGCCTCAGTTTCCCCATCTGCAAAATGGTGAGGAAGCTCCTTCTGCCTCCCATCCTGCGGCTCTTGGAGCCCCTCGGCTGGAAGGAGAGAGTTTGATTATTAATAATCCTAATAAATTATGGACAGCAGAGAAATTAGAGATGGGAAGAGACCAATTAGCAGCGCGATAGCTGCTAAGAATGCATTTGGGACCAGCTATAAACAGCCCGGACGCAGGGAGACAGACGGGGCAGGGGGTCAGACAGCTAAAGGGGGGGTTATGAAAACAGATTTTCCTCCAGGCCCCTGTAAAGGCCCCCAGCGATGCAATCCCCCCCTCCCCCTCCCCGGACAGTATCCCCCAGCAGACCTGACCACCCCCCATCTTCTGTGCAACAATTAACTTTGCATCCTGTTGCATTTAGCAGCCCGTCTCAGGGCTTGGCCTCCCCCAGGCTCCGGTGATGGGCACTGCTGGGGGACCCCCATCTGCAGCAGGGAGGGAGGGTCCCCAAAAGGAAAGCCAGGTGGTGATGGGGGGAGGGGGCTCCATATCCAGGCAGTCCTTGGATCAACATCTTCTAGGAGGGCAGATGACGGACAGGGAGCTTGCGAGCCCTCAGCTCCCCCAAGCCCCCCGAGCGGCCAGGGTGGGGCCCTCACCAGCCGCCCCCTGGATCGCCCTGCTGGGAGCCAGCCAGGGACGCTGGCCTGGCAGGCTCCTCACACGGCAGCTGCCGAGCCGGGTGTTTTACAACCACTCCAAAAATATTAGTCAAGATGAGGGAGGATCGGCGCTCGGAGGAGCGAGGGGTCGGCGCGGCGGATTTATCATTGCGAAGTGGGTTTTTCCCTCTCCCCCTCCCCGTGATGAAGTGCTTCATTAACGGGAGATGCGGCATCTCGGCTGCCGTGCCCAGGGGAGCGGATAGGCCGGCGTCTCCCACGCCTGACAGCCCTGTGGAGCCTTCACAGCCCCCCAGCTCTGCAGGGAGGAGGGTGCTGGGATCGGGGCCTGACCTGGATCATTGCTACCAATCAGAACGTGTCCCTCTGCCCGCAGAAGGCCACAAGCAGCATCACTCACCCCCTTTTCCGGATGGGGATACCGAGGCACAGAGCAGAGAGTAGAACCCAGGGCTCCCAAGAGCCAGACGTGCTCTATCCACTAGGCCACCCAGCCCCGATCAGGACCCCATTGCACCAGGCACTGTCCAGACAGACAGACAGACCCTGCCTGGACACGCAGACAGACAGACAGACCCTGCCTCGCCGTGCAGACAGACAGATGGACAGCCCCTGCCTCGCCGCGCAGACAGACAGGTGGACAGCCACTGCCTCGCCGCGCAGACAGACAGGTGGACAGCCCCTGCCTCGCCGCACAGACTGATGGACGGACAGCCCCTACCTTGCCGCGCAGACCGACAGACAGACAGACAGTCCCTGCCTCGCCGCGCAAACGGACAGACAGACTGACAGCCCCTGTCTCGCCGCGCAGACAGATGGACGGACAGCTCCTGCCTCGCCGCGCAGACAGATGGACGGACAGCCCCTGCCTCGCCGCGCAGACAGATGGACAGACAGCCCCTGCCTCGCCATGCAGACAGACAGACAGACTGACGGCCCCTGTCTCGCCGCGCAGACAGATGGACGGACAGCCCCTGCCTCGCCGTGCAGACAGACAAGCGGACAGCCCCTGCCTCCGCCGCACAGACAGACAAGCGGACAGCCCCTGTCTCGCCGCGCAGACAGATGGACGGACAGCCCCTGCCTCGCCGTGCAGACAGATGGACGGACAGCCCCTGCCTCGCCGTGCAGACAGCCAGCCAGGTGATTCTCAGGCCAGCGCAGAGGCAGGGACTTGGCCCCGGTCCCGCAGGAGGGGAGCAGTGGGGGTAGAAATCGAGTCCCAGGCCAGCCCAGCACGTCACCCACCCTCCTAAAGGCTGCACCTCCCGCGCACAGGCCGGGGGAGGGCGGGTAGCGCCAGGCCTACGCTGGCCACGCACCTGGGCTCTTCTCCCTTGTCCTAGCTGGGGTTTTCCACCCGCCGGGGTCTCCGGCGCTGCAGGGCCCCCATAGTCAGGTGATGATGATTCAGACGGATTCGGGGGGGTGGGGGTGGGGTGGGAGAAAGGCAAAAAACAGATGAGCCCCAACCGTGGGATTCTCATCCCCACGTCAAATCGGGGAAATTGAGCTACCAGGATTTCCCCGAGGCCATGACAGAGCTGGGATTAGAACCCAGATCTAGGCTCCCGGCCCCCCTGCTCTGACCATTAGACCCCACTCCCCAGGAGAGAGAACCCAGGAGTCCTGCCTCCCCCCGCTCTAGCCACTAGACCCCACTCCCCTCCCAGCACTAGGATAGAATCCAGGCATCCTGGCTCCCACCCACCCTCCCCTGCTCCCATCTCTGCTTTCTAGGTGGCCCCGTGGGCGCAAGCTGTTCTGTCTGGAGCCTGCCACAGTGGAAGGTGTTTCCCGGGGAGCTGCCTGGGGCTTTGGGGCTTTCTATGGAGGCAGCTTGGCCTAGCCCAGTTCCTGCGGCCTAACGCCAGAGGTCGCCTCCCTGCCTCAGTTTCCCTCTATGTAGAACAGGGAGAGCGATACTGCCCCGTGGCCAGGAACGAAGGGCTCCCCTGGTGCCCCCTGACAGACCACCTCTGTATCACTAACAGCTCTGCCGGTGCCCCTCAAACCTGACCCGTAGCCCCCTGCTATCCCACCCCCGGGTTCCCCCCATCCAGCTCGGCTGGTGCCCCTCACTCCCGACCTGCAGCTTCCTGCTAGTCCAGCCGTGGGTCCCCCCACGACTCTGAGTAACTGACTCAAGAAGAGGATATCTGCAGTACCATCTGGTTTGTCTGTTCTCACGTTTCCAGGCTCAGGGGGCCAGGAAGGAGCCACATGCCAGCACAATCAGTCACACCCCTGACCATGGGGGAACAGAGCTGCCATTTCTAGCCATCGGCTATCGATCAGAGCGGAGGGCTGCATCGAACGGGCCGCTGGTCCGATCCGCTTTGGCAAAGCCAGGCCCGCAGAAGGCCAAGCATCCGAATTCAGCTGCACAGACAGCTTGGTCCAGACCCCCGCGCCCGAGCCTGGCATCTCTGCGTCTCCATTGCCGTGTTTTATTTGGGACTGTCAGGACATTTTTCTCCATTATTTATTCTTTTCCTTCTTAATGAATCTCCGATTGTCTCCTGGTGTTATATGGGTCGGCTCATACCGGATCAGAGCCCGGCGCCACAAATCTTCGGGTCTTTCCGTGTGTGTGTGTGTGGATCTAGCAATCATAAAAAATTCATTCCATCCCAAGCAAACAAACAATAAACAAACAGCCCATAATTAAATGGTGAATTAACGGGGGATATTTCATGCCTCGGCAGCGTTCTGCTGAGGGATGAGCGCGTCGAACGGGGCGGTTTGTCACTACACGGGGCGGTATGGGATACGCAGCAGGTGCTTCGCCTGGTGCTGAAATGCAGCCCCTTCTGGGGTGGGGCAGCGGCTTAGAAGCTGCTTGGGAGAGCTGCCCGGAGATCCCTCAGCCAGGGCCGGACTGCAGCTGTTTCGGGGGCGGGTTAACAACGCAGTGACAACCCTGCACAAGGCTGCTTCACCTGGCCCCAAAACTGCGGCCACTTCTGGGGCAGCGCCCGGCCCGCGGTTAACAGTCCCCCCGCAACGCAGCCACAGCGGGAAGGACTAAGGCACCCAGCTGCCAATGCGGAGGAGCAGGGCGGCCGGGAGGCGGCTGGGAGGCCGGGGTTAACAGCACTGACTTGCAATCAGCACCTACAGCATCTCTGATGAATTCCAATAATGAGGCCTCTGGTTTCTGTCTCATCCAGAAGATGGAGATGCAGCATCTCTCTGAGCACTCGCCTCCAGTTGTTTTTCTGCAGTCGGCAGCTCGTAAAGCTGCCCTCCCCGGCTCCTGTTTCACGTTAGGTATTGGCTATTATACGGGGATAATATTTTTTGATTCCCTCCCCCCCGGTGCTACAATCCTCACCAAGCAATTGCGCTTCATTCCCAAGCTGTCACCAGCTCCCTGCGAGAAAAATGAGCTCAGGACAGGTGCAAGCTCCACTCATTCCCTGCAAAGCTCACCAGAGCCCGGGGCCTGTCTCCCCGGGTCGGCCCCCCTTTTCCCATCGCCCCCCGCCCCGCAGACAGCTCTGGGAGCGGGGGGGAAGCAGGGCGCCAGGGTTGCTCCAGGGGACACTTTTTGCATCGCACTTTGGGGTGCGTGCGAAAGAAAGACGCAGCGTCGACGACATCGGCGAAGCTGGGCGAAGCCGGGTGGGGCTGAGGGGATCGGTTTGATGGAGAAGCCCTAGGAGAAGGAAAAGCGTTTGAGTCTCCGGCTGGAGAAGAGTTTCCGTCCCAAATCTCTGGGCACCTCCCCATTTGCGAAAAGCCCATTCCCGGCCCAGCCGCAGACCTGGGCTCGCTCCTCGCTTTACCATCTGCGTCAGCTTCTCCTCCTGCTCGCCGCATTCACCCTTCGCGTGCACAGAGCAGGG